GCCCATGACGGCGGGCAGCACCGCGATGGAGGACGCCAGCGATCTGGTGCCCAAGAGGACGAGGCCACCCGCCCCCGCTGCGCCACCTCCTGGTTCGCGAGGCCGCGAGCTGACAGTGCGGGGTCTGCCTCGCCTCGGCCTCCTTTGAGGCCGCTCGGAGGCGCGTGGAGCGCACGGAGTGTGCGCCATCCTCCTTGCAGAAATTGGTGGCCCGTGCCAGGGCACGCCACCTCTACCCGACCTCCTCCTCTTCCGCTGCTGCTGCTCCGCTGCCGACTGCTCGCGAGGACGCCAGCGCAATAGCACTGCGTGCGGCGGACAGGGTCTTGGGACCCGAGGTTGGCCATCAGGATCATGCTGCGGGCAGCGATCCCTTGAGGGGAGTACCGTTAAGATCCCAGGTGCCGACTGGGTCCAGTGGTGCCGACCCTGCGTCCTATGAGCTTCTCCGTGGCCACCGTATGGTCGCCGAGGGCCCTTTCGCTTATTGTTTGATGTGTGTGTGTGTGTGTGTGTGTGTGTGTGTGTGTGTGTGTGTGTGTGTGTGTGTGTGTGTGTGTGTGTGTGTGTGTGTGTGTGTGTGTGTGTGTGTGTGTGTGTGTGTGTGTGTGTGTGTGTGTGTGTGTGTGTGTGTGTGTGTGTGTGTGTGTGTGTGTGTGTGTGTGTGTGTGGGGGGGGGGAATCTCGCGACAGCCACCTGTGTTCATTGCCCGGTGCACTGGCTAGGTCACTTGGGAGTCCACTGGGCTCAGATCCACAGCCCTTCCGAGTTTACAGGCCGCGTGTCACCCGCGTATGGGCGTTCGCTTGTTCGCCTCAGCGGTGACATCCACGCAGCTATGGGTCAGCCGCGTTTTCCCCCACTGTCGTGCCTCTCTCGTTTCTCGGCGGAGGCATTGGAGCCTGGGGTCCTTGTCCTCGTACTTATACTCCCTCTTCCTTTTTTATCTCGGTCCCTCCCTCCCTCCCTCCCTCCTAGTTTTCCCCCTACCCTCCCACTCCCCCGCCCGAGACGATGGACGACGGACGACGACGACGACGACGACGACGACGACGACGATATGACGACGACGATATGACGACGACGACGATACCACGACGACGACGACGACGACGATGATATGACGACGACGACGACGACGACGACGACGACGACAATATGACGACGACGACGACGGCGGCGACGACGACGACGACAATATGACGACGACGACGACGACGACGACGACGACGACGACGACGATATGACGACGACGACGACGACGACGACGACGACGACGACGACGACGACGACGGCCCACGAAGGCGGCCATCGACGACGACAGCGGCGGCGGCGAGGCTCGGGCGAAGAGAGAGCTTAGCACGGACACCGATCCTGTGCAGCCCCACCCGGGGCCCAGGAGCCGTGCACGTGCCTCCCTGGCACAGGCCAGGGGGGCGCACGTGCACCGCTCCTGCGCCTCTCGCGGGCCATGTGGATGGGCCTGGGCCCGCCGCTCTGCGCCTGACCAGCCCGCCACTGCGGGCGGCCACTTCTGTCTCATTTGGCCCCCTCGTTCTCCAGCCGCCCTCCCGAGGAGCTTTGGCCCCCTCGTTCTCCAGCCGCCGTTCTTCTCAACCATGGCCTGGCCAGGGATGGGCCTGGCCTGGCCTGGCCTCTCTCTCTCTCTCGTCGGCGCCACCCTAACATACCAATGCTCTGTGTGCGTCGCCCCCCCAGGGGGGACGCGCGCACCGAGAAATCTTGAAGCATATGCGTGGTGGCGGGCGCATTTTGGCCACACCGCTCGGGAACGATACACTACAAGATGGGTATGCTATATGATCGGGTCGGACGCGCGCCTCCGAGAATGACATACAGTACTAGTATGTCTCTGTGCGTCCCATCTCTCTGTCTCTCTCTCTCTCTCTCCGGACGGCCAGGCCTCCTCCTCCTCCGCTCTTCGGAAGGCCAGGCCGACGCCGCCGCCCACCCTGGACCGGCCCCGGCGCTCTTCCGCGGGGCCGCGGCGCCGGTGCTGCTGCTGCAGCCGCGGGCGCTCTTCGGCTCGCGCGAGGCCGCGGCCGCCGAGCGCCTGCACGCGGCGGCGGCCTCCGCGAGGGCGCGCGTGCTGCGCGCCGCGGCCGCCGCGCTGGAGGCGGGTGCGCCCGAGGCTCGGCTGCGCGCAGCGCAACTGGGATGGGCGCGGGGGGGACCAAGTGGATAGGGGGTCTATAAGCCCAAACCCCCTCGAGTCACGGAGGAGTCATGACGCGGGAGGCTTTTCACGATTTTCGGCCCCTGGGGGCCCTCACCGGGCCTCGGGGCCGTCAAAGAACGACTCGGGATGAAAGACGGGTCCCTGGGAATGGGTCGAGATTTCTGGGGTCGACGTTATGAACAAATCATGATGTCGGGGGTCTGGGATCTAGGCCTTCTGGCCTCCGAGATGGGGTCCGAGCAAATTGGGTCTCCTAGGTTGGGTCCGAGCAGATGGGGTCGGAGTATCGCGCCGCATCGCCGATGCATCGGCGATGCGGCTCGATGTGGAGCCCGAGTTGCTTCGACGTCGCCGATGCATCGCCGACGTCGACGATGCCTCGCCGGTGGATCGCCGATGCATCGCCTATGTATCGACGATGCGGCGCGTTCCTCCGACCCCGTCAACTCTGACCCCATCTAAGAGGCCTCTACTTAAGCGGACGCCAAGATGGGAGTATCTGGCCCAACCTGGTTTATAAATGGGTTACAAATGTCCTGAGTGGCTTAGGAGGGTTGCCTAGCTCCGCGAAGTGGGCGAAGCCCACTTAGCCAGGACAGCTCCACCCCTTTCGCCATACAGGGCACCTGCAACCCATTTAGGATCGAGGGTGGGCCAGATATAACCACTATGGCATCCGCTCACAACCCCCCTATCCACCTGGCACCCCGCGAGCCCATCCTAGAAGAGGGACCCTTCGCCGGAGTGACCTTTGGTGTGTGGCCTGTTTCCATCCGACCGAGATGTCGATCTCTGCCGGCCCAGTCCGATTCGATCCCAATGTTCGTTCGATCCGAGGGGGGCCGATGCTCGCAGGGCGCTGCCTGGCATCCTGGAGATGCCGTCGATGCGATTCCCACTCCGTGCCGATGCGGCCCGATGCGGTGCACACCCCGATGCGGCACGAGCTTCCGCCTCGATGCTGGCCGACCTTGCCCTACGCCAGAGGGACCTCTGGTGCGCGGCTCTCGGGGAGCGCGCGTGGCCCAGACCCCCGACGTCATGTTTTTTTCAAAACGTCGACCCCCAGAAATCTCGACCCATTCCCCGGGACCAGTTTTTCATCCTGAGTCGTTTTTTGACGGTTCCGATGCCGGGTAAGGGCCTCCAGAGGGAGAAAATTGACGAACCAACAACCCACACCCATACCCATAAGGGGATCGGAGAGGGCTATGGGTGCGTGTTGTCGGATGGAGGTCCCCGCTCGAACGGGAGCGTTCCCCAGGGTCCGACAACCCGCACCCATACCCATAGCCAGTCCTCCTCCCGACGACCCCCCTATGGGTATGGGTGAGTGTTGTCCGTTCGTCAATAATAGCCAAACATTTCCCGTCATGCCTGTTCCACTGCCCGAGGGGGTCTGGGGGCCCAGGCCCAGTCGCGCCGGCCGCCACTGCGGCATCGCACGCGGCGATCGGCAGGCCGCACCAGAGGCTCTTGCCTGGCCTGGAGTTATGATGTTCCAGCTCGCTTTAACATGAACCACCAGAAAGAATTTCGAGCACCAAGACGTGTACTCAAACTGGAGGGTTTTCACGTGTCGAGCTGGGGGAGGCGATATTCGTTCCACACAGTTTCGATACTTCTCGGGGTGCTCGAAAGTGTTTCTGAGCAACATAAGCCTGCGGTCGTTCCGTCGCGTCGCCGAGAGGCGGCGGCCCGCGCCGCGGCGGAGCGGGCGCTGTTCTGGGCGCTGCTGGAGACAGGGGGCGGGGGCGTTCGGCGGGGGCCTCTGCCGACGTGTGTTCGGAGGCCCGCCTCGGGGAGGAGGGGATAATTTTAAACCAGGCGTGTCCCTCTACAGGCGGAGTATTCAAGAATAGCCCCAACGAATAGTGTGGGGACGGTTTTTCAATTATGCTGTGATTACTTTGGAGCATGTTTGACTCATCTTATTTGTTTTAAATGTTTTTTTTTTAAATCCGCCTGTAGGAGAACATGCCCGCCGACCTGAGGATCATTGCCGATGCCGCGGCTCGTCCCGGAGAGCCCTCGTCGCCACGGCCGGGTTCTCGGAGTTCTGTCCAGTCTTCGGGGAGGAGGAGATCATTGCCGATGCCGCGGTTCGTGCAGGAGAGCCCTCGTCGCCATGGCCGGGTTCGCCTCGGAGTGCAGGGCCAGGGCGCATTCCGAGAGAGGTAGGTCTGGGGAGTATACCCGTGTCGGTACCCAGAGATCCGAGGATATGATTTTTTCAATCCAGGCGAATTCCCTCGATTTCGGCTTCAGGGCCCGGTATCGGGCCCTGGGATGAAAAGCCACCCCCAGGGAAGGGGTCGGGACCTCTGGGGCGGCGGATTGAAAAAATCACATTGGCGGATGTCCGGGGAGGCGACGATACGGGTATGTGCGTGTGCCCCCAGTTTCGACATGTTTGTTGTCGCTGCGTTGGGCTCCTCCTGTTCTCGGGCGATCCCTGCAGGTGTCCAGCGTCTCCTTTTGTCCCTGCGGCTCTCGGCAGCGACCGCAGGAGACGCGCGTGCAACGCATCGCTTGCACATCCAAAGAGTCAACCCGCATAGCAAGGACGGGGAACCTTCCCAAGGGTACCAGGACCCCAGGTAAGGAGACCCGTTTAGTAGGGCCCCGGAGCATTTAAATTGGCCAGAATCACTAAACCAAGTCTGCCGTAGCTGGTATTTTTGTCGGGTGACGGCAGTTCCGGTTAGTGGAACGGGGCGGGGGGGCATCCCCCAGTACACATCACTAAACCAGATCCCACTAAACCCAGTTCTGCCAACGCCCGAATCAGCGTCAGCAGGGGGAAGCCAACACCCTCCGATCCCCCCTGGCCCTAGTTAGGGAGCCATCTGCGCGACGGAAGAAAACGGGGTCGACTGCGCCGACATTGGCGCGTAAGCTGCTCGCGTAGGGTCGCGCGTAAGCGCCATCGTCTCCAATGTAGCGTGCCGCGCCGGCGACCCGCGCAAGCCACCGCGTAAGATCGCTGTGCCATCTCGCGTAAGACCCGTTTTTGATCGTCGTTCATGTGGAGCCGCGTCGACCGGGGTAAACCGCTGCAGGGCGCTCCAGGACGCTCTCAGAGCGTTCCGGCGGAGCGCTCTGGGAGGGGCCGCGGCGCCCGAGGCATCCTCCAGAACTGGATCCAAAAGAGGCCCTAAAGGGCCCCTTTAGGGCCCTTTTCATCACCCCCCATTTGGGTCACCCCCCCATTGCCACCCGCCCGATTCGTCTTGCCCGTGGTCCCCGCCCTCCGCGGACTTCTGGCTTGGGGGCGCCGTGTCGTGGCAGGCTTGGGCGATACTGGGGCGCGGCCCTGGCCGACCCAGGTTGGCACTGTCCTGGGTCCAAGAGGGCGTCGCCGACCGAGGTGCCACGCTGCTCTTCTGGAACTCTCCGGGGAAGCATGCACCATGGCCGCTTGATCCGAAGGAGAGAAGCACACAAGCATGAACTGTCCACGTTCCGCGCGGATCTCTTGGATCGCCCCTGGTTCTCTCCGCGCTCCGCGCGCAAGAAATCCGCTCCGAGCGCCAAAAGTTTGTGTTTATGTCGTTATCCGTAAGGGCTTCGCCCCATGCCGCCGGCCCCTGTCTCGGATAATGAGAGATGCAAAAGCTAAATCATGAGGTCTGGGCGCCGCCGTGAAGCAGTGTCGGGACCTGTTTGTTTTTGGATCCTGACCCCGCCGATCTGCTTGAGGGGTGCCACCGAATTTCAGGACTGTGGCAAATCCCATGTGTTTTTGGACCATGATCCCGCCGATCTGCGTGAGGGGTGATACCGAATTTCAGAAATGTAGCAAATTCCCTGTGTTTTTGGACCCTGACCCCGCCGAACTGCATGAGGGGTGCCGCCGAATTTCAGAAATGTGGCACATCCCCTGTGTTGTTGGACCCTGACCCCACGATCTGCGTGAGGGGTGCCAGCGAATTTCAGGAATGTTGCAAATCCATTGTGTTTTTGGACCCTAACCCTGCGTATCTGCGTGAGGGGTGCCACTGAAGTTCAAACATGTGGCAAATCCATTGTGTTTTTGGACCCTAACCCTGCGGATCTGCGTGAGGGGTTTCAATTTTCACCCCTCCAGAAATTCTGAGAACCCTCCCAGGGCGTGGTAGTTCTGCTGGTTTGGGCTCCTCCCAACCCTCGCGCGCGTTCATCAGCAAGGAACACTAAGCAGCAAGAAGCAGAACTGCAACAGTGGAAACTGGAAGCTGCAACTGGCACAGCGAGCAGCACATTCCCGGCCTACAGCCTGGTGGCCCCGCAAGGGGGCCGGCGGATTTCGTCTTTTGATGTCGGGCGGAGCGGAGAGCCCCGGCGGTGCGCGGCGTGGGCGCAGCCGCCTGGCCCCCAAAGAGACGTGGACGCGAGGGGGGGGGGCACCGGGTCGCAGTCGTAGCCGTGCTCGTGGCCGCGGTCGTGAACGAGTCACGACTCGTAGTCGTACAGTGGAGGCCCATGCCAAGGAGCACCCTGCCTGCCTCTGGGTTTCTTGGGTTTCGATGGTTCTACTGTGGCAGGCGCGACGCTCCCACACCAAAAGTCGATGGACGTCCTGGGGTCTCAGGGTTGGGTTTCTTGTGGAAGGTTTGTTGTGGTCGGTCCCTTACTGTAGTCGCATCTGGAGCCATAGTCGTATCGTGGTCGTAGTCGTAATCGTAGTCGTCGTCGTCGTCGTTGTTGTGCGGCGAGTGCCGCGGAGACATCATTCTTTTCCACGATTGGTGGGGCCCCAGTCCGTCCACATGGTCGTCGACGCGATAACTCGTTTCCACCGTTGGGGGGTTCTCAAGACCTATAGAGGTTATCTCATAGCCTTCGGCTCATCCCGCCAGGTGCCGCTCATTCCGGTCGGGCTGGCGCGGAGCTCTCCCATGTAGTTGTTTGTCTCACACTCCTGCCCGCGCTGCGGGCTGGCGGTTCTGGGTGGCCGGCGGATGTTCCAGAGCGATGCGGCGGAAGCAACACTGGGCAACCATGTGGCGCCCAGGTGCCGCTTGTTTCTGAACAGCGCGGAGCGTGCACGCGACGTCTGTGTGGCTGGCGGGCTTCTCATCTGGAGTCGGCGCCAAAGCGCTGCTCACTCAGACGAGGCAGCAACCCTGTGACGCTCAGGTGCCGTCCGCTCGCGCTGAGCGGAGCGGAGCTGTCCAGTCGCCCTTGATTTGTAGGTCGACCTTGCCAAATCAAGGGTACTCTTGTGTCCTGTGTCTCGCGACCCATGCCTCTTACATTCCCGTGGCAATGTGGCCCTCGGAAGGGTCTTGTGTCCTCTCGCGTGTCCTGTTCAATGAAGTCCGACTGTCGAGCTGAACCGTGTCTTCTTACGGACCGCCCGTTTGCCCGGATTGGCGCGGCATTTGTCGAACTCCCAAAATTCTCCTCGCTGCCGCCTGCTCTCCAGTCGGGGTTGGGGAGCGCGCCGACGACAGCGAAGTTGGCGGCAGTCCAAAGGCCTGGCTTGAGCACGCGCCTAGGCCACCGTGCCTGGGTTGTGGGTGTGACGCTTATTGGATGCTCGTTGTGATCTCGTGGGAGGACCCTCGGGGGCCTCTTAGAAGCGGTTTGGAGGCCTCTCGGGGGCGTTTTGGCACCTCTTTAGGGCCCCCTGGGGCCTCCAGGGGCCTCTTGGGGGCCTCGTGGGGGCCTCTTAGGGCCTCCTGGGTGCCACTTCGGGCCTCCTCGGTGCCTCTTAGGGCGGAAAGCTCGGAATTTCGGTTCGTGTTCCCTCTCTTGGGCCCCTTCCGGGCCGTCTTGGGGCCCTCTTGGGCCGTCTTGGGCGCCTCTTGTGCCGTCTCTTAGGCCGCTTTGAGGTCCTCTTGGAGGCCACTTGGGCCGTTTTGGGGAGAACTTCAAAATCTTTCAACAACCTAAGGAACACCAGTGATTTTTGCCTCTTGGGGCCCTCTTGGGAGGCCTCTTGGGGCGTCTTGGACTCGGGGCCCTCTTGGACAGTCTTGGGGGCCTCGTGAGGCCCTCTTGGCCCATCTTCTGGCCCTCTGGTGCCCGAAATAGTCACGCGGGAAGCCTTTCCGGAGCCCAGAAGGGGCACGCGGGCAGCCCTGGTAGATTTGAGGATTTGTGGGTCCGCGCCCCTCCGAAGACTCGCCAGAACCGGGGACTGAGGCTCCAGGGATGCGGCAATGGACCTGAGGACACGCCCACGCCGTGCCCAGAGGCACGGTGGCGGATGTCCTGGCCTCCGGGGCAGGAGCATGACCCTGCTACGTGCTGTATACGTCCGCAGCCGCCACCTCTCGCGCAGCGCGGGCACTCTTCGGTGTTATAGGCTCGTGAGCGTAAGAGGTGTTCCATAAGCCACGCGCGCCGCACGTCGGACGAAGGCTTGCACACCTTCTGCGCATATACCACTCAGCACAGTGGCTTCACGATTGCGTCGCCGGGCGTTCTGTCGTGCTGCCGTGTCCGTTCCCACTCCTCCACGCCAGAGCAACAAAGTACGAGAGCCTCGATGTATATACCTGTACGACCACCCTTCGGGTGATAAGGAGGTTGGTGGGGGGAGAAGGAAGCAAATGAAAGATTACTGCGATGGGGATGATGATGACGATGTTGGTGATGCGGCCTCGAATTGGCGCCGATTCGTGGTGACGATGCTGCGTCGCGATGTGGTCCCACTCGATCCCTCTCGATCGGCCTAACCATCGAGACACCACCAGGGCACCATGAGGCCAAATACATGCCACCACTAATGTGCTGTGATGGTTAGTGCTAAGTGTGATGGCTGGCTGCTTATGGCAAGGTGATGGCCGCAGTGGTGATGAGCGTGGCGGCGGCAGCAACGGCGGTAGTGCTGAGTACGATCGGAACACCATCGGAACACTATCGGGCCAAACGCAAGCCACCACCACTGCGCTGCAGTCGGGACACCATCGGGGCACAATCGGGACACCATGGGGAAACCAATCGATCTCACTTTCGATATCACAATCGATCTCAACATCGGTCTTACTATCGATCTCACTCGCTCGATCTCACTATCGATCTCACTATCAGCCTCACTATCGATCTCATCACGGGGCACCGGCGGGACACCGATGGGACTTCGATGCGACAAGAACGGTACACCGACGGGACACCGACCGGACACCAGCAAAACACCGACGGGACACCGACGGGACACCGACGAGACAACGACAGGATAGCCGCGGAACACCAACGGGACACCGACGGGACACCACGGCGGGACAACCAGGCCACCACCCGCTCACCGCGGAGGAGAGGCGGACAGCGACGGTACACCACGGCGGGACAACCCAGCCACCGCCCGCCCACCAGGGAGGGAGGAGGGGCTGTCAACGGCTCTTGACCCGCCTTAGCCACAGCGGAGTCATTCCCCTTGCCCGCCCACACAGCTCCGCCTCGCCCGCACGCACGACACGAGCCCGAAACCGAAGCCGATTTCCCGGTGGGGGCTCTCCGTTCCGCTTCGATCTCAAACCCCCAACCTCCACACGGTACACCATATGTACTTGTATGCGCATATATATATATATATATGTATATGCAGATTCATGGATGCATCTGTATATATATATATATAGAGAGAGAGAGAGAGAAAGACAAACAAAAAGGAAGAGAGAGAGAGAGAGAGAGACAGAGACAGAGGCAGAGAGAGAGAGAGACAGAGAGAGAGGGAGACAGTGAGAGAGAGAGAGCTCCAAATCCGTCAAGTCGCTTGTTCCTCGGCCGAGGAGCCGCGCGGCGACCCCGAGGCCGACGACCTCGACGGCGAGGCCGTGGCGCCCGGCGCAGTGGCGCTCGCCGACGAGGCCACGGGGTCGGCCTCCCAAAGGGGGGCTGACCGGGCGCGCACACCTCCAGCAACGCGGGTCCAATTGGACTATCGCAGGCCTCGAGGTTGACACCAACACAAATGTCGGCGGCATGCCTCCACCGAGGTAAGAAATCCCTATCTCGGCGATGGTGGTAACATTCTAGCTTCCAAGGTGACCTAAATATTACCACCAACATCGAAATCTGAGATCACCTTCCCCCTGTAGAGGCAATCCCCTATGTTGGTGCTGGTGTCCCTTTCCAGGCCTCCAAGGATTGGGTCGAAGGATCGCGCCGCATCGCAGATGTATCGGCGATGCGGCTCGATGTGGAGCCCGATGCTCTTCACGTCGGCGTCGCCGCGGCATCGCCAGCGATGCATCGGCGAAGTAGCGTGATCCTCCCACCCCATCTACGCGGACGCCTTCGGGAGGCCTATCGCCATGCGCTCACACCAGTTTCTGGCCAGGCCAGTCCGATCTTGGGCCACAGGTCAATGCGCACACCTTCGTGACCAAGCTACGCGGGCGGCACACACCATCACACACCATCGAAGAAAGCTTTCGGAGGTCTGCGTGGAGTTCATGGATCAGCGCTGGGCCCCCCCCGGGCGGCGCCCCCGGCGCCTACAGGGAGGGGAGGTTCATTGCCGATCCCAGAAATCCGCGCGTCCTTCCGAAAATGTATGTTTAGACCTTTTCTCCCCTGGCCAATCCGACCCAGGGCCCAGGGTCGGTGCGCACGCCTTCCTGCCCAGGCTAGGTTCAAGTGTTGCAAGCAGTGCCCCTGGCCCAGGGTTGCCCCAGGATTTCCAAGGAGGCTCCCACGGCCTCCAGAGCACCCCCCACGAGGCCAAGAGCGCCCCAGAGGCTCCAACACTGAGCCTGAGCGAAAAGCTTGGGACACCTTGGGCCAGGGGCACCTTTGGCAACCCCCGATGCACAAAAGCTCACGACCGCATCGCAAGAGGAGGAGAAGGAGGAACAAGAAGAGGAGGAGGAGGAGGAGGAGGAGGAGGAGCAGGCGGAGGAGGAGGAGGAGGAGGAGGAGGAGGAGGAGGAGGAGGAGGAGGAGGAAGGGGAGAAGGGAGGAGGAGAGGAGGACGAGGAGGGGAGGAGGAGGCAGGAGAAGGAGGAGAGGAGGAGAAGGAGAGGAGGAGGAGGCGGAGGAGGAGGACGAGGAGGAGGAGGAGGAGGAGGAGGAGGAGGAGGAGGAGGAGGAGGAGCGGAGGATGAGGAGGAAAAGGAAGAGGAGGAGGAGGAGGAGGAGGAGGAGGAGGAGGAGGAGGCGGAGGAGGAGGAGGCGGCGGCGGCGGTGCTCGGCTGATCCACGTGTCTGCTCGCGTGAAAACTCGTGAGAGAAGCAGGGCAGCTTAAGGAACACGAGTGCGCTACTGTTAGCGGTGCAAGCGCACGTGGGGAGGGGGGGCTCATGGGAGCGCCTCGCGAGCCCAGCACGGAGATATTCCTGGGGCGAGGCCATTCCCTCGAGGCACAGTCACAAAATTACGGCGGCCACAGAACTAGACAGCGGGCGAGCCGTCAACCAAAATCCAGAGTTTCTTTAAAAGGACAGCGAGTTCAACCTGAAAAACGAACACTAAAGTTACAGGGTCCCAGGGTGTCGATCCACAGAAAGATTCCTGTCGGCACTCGGGGTCCCTCCGATCAGTCGATAGATCGCTGCATCTAAAGCCAAGGAGGAGGTCAGGCGGGGACGACGAGACGAGGACTCGGACCGAGGACAGGGAGGGGGGAGGCAAGGGGGAAGCGGCCTGGCCAGCGCTCTGCTGGCGGGCCTTCTTCGCAGCGATGCCACATCATGCCCGGGGCTCAGGCTGAGGCTTCTCGACCGATGTCGGCACAGATGAGTGTCTTTGTGCACTCGTCGGAGCAGTCGTCGACTCTGTCGAAGTGGTGGCACTCGCATCGAACTGTCCAGCCCATCCAAGGCCAGCTGTAGCAATCTCTTATGGTGCGACTTCGGCGGTGTGCCTCGCATGATCTTCGCCCCAAACTGAACTAGCGCCGCCAGGACTTCTGACTGGATGCCCGTCTCGCGGGCTTCGATTAGATGATCCATGGCACTCTTGTCGTACGTGTAGGCCACTCGGTCCGCCTGCACGCGGTCGAGGTAGGTCTTGATGGCGGTGGCATTCTGAGCTCCGACCCGTTCACCTTGCTGTTGACGGGCGCCCACCAGCGCGAGCCACAGGTGGGGGTGTGGGACCCCCAGCTTCTCCAGAGCCTCGACTGGGTTGCCAGCGCGAAGGTCGTCCTTGTGGTCGCGACGCAGTCGCGTCGCCTCTTGCACGAAGTACTTGCCTGTCAATTGCATTGCCTGGGCAACCGCGTGGTCGGCCTGGATGTGAGCAATCATGTACACCGTGCTCTCGAGTGCGGCTATGCCCTGCATGTTCCTGAGCCTGACTCGCGTCACCACTGGCATCAGCGCCTGGACCATCTCGATGGACATCTGCTGGTTCTGGAGTTGCGTGAAGTCGCGGCGCTGCAGGCCGTAGGTGTTGTCCGCTTCGTCGAAGACCTGGGCCAGAGCATGCACTGCTCCCTGAGGTCCCTGCTGGCGGTGCTGCTGCTGCTCTTCCTGGGGGCCGCCAGGAGCGGCCGCGGCCGCGGCCGCAGCCGCGGGGGAGAGCCCTTCCTCTCCCGCTCTCGCCGCCGCCGCCGCGGCGGGCCCGCGGGCAGGTCGGTCCGCCTGGCGGGCGCGGCGGGGGGCGCCGCGCTCTCCGCTCCGAGAGCGGAGGGCCCTGCCTCGCTCCTCGGCGCCGATGCTGAGGGCGCGCTGACCTAGGTCCATCGTAGCAGACCAGGTCGGGTGGAGCGGGAGCGAGGCGGAGGAGAAGGAGGAGGACGGAGGAGGAGGAGGAGGCGGAGGAGGAGGAGGAGGAGAAGGGGGGGAATGAGGAAGACAAGGAGGAGGAAGAGGAGGAGGAGGAGGCGGAGGCGGAGGCGGAGGCGGAGGAGGAGGAGGAGGAGAGGAGGAGGAGGAGGATGAGGAGGAGGAGGAGGAGGAGGAGGAGGAGGATGGATGATGAGGTGGAGAAGAGGAGCAGGAGGGGGGGAGGAGGAGGAGGAGGAGGAGGAGGAGGAGGAGGAGGAGGAGGGAGGAAAAGGGGGATGAGGAGAAGGAGGTGGCGGAGAAGGAGGAGGCTGAGGAGGAGGAGGAGGAGGAGAGGAGGAGGAGGAGAGGAGGGAGAAAGGAGGAGGAGGAGGAGGAGGAGGAGAGGAGGAGGAGGAGGCGGGGGAGGAGGAGGAGGAGGAGGAGGAGGAGGAGGAGGAGGGATGAGGAGGATGAGGAAAAGGAGAAGGAGGATGAGGTATCGGTATCGCTATCGCTCCTCTGAGCCCAAGGATCGGATGGACTGGGGAGAAGTTTGGGGTTCCCCCCTCAAATCAAGCCCTCGGCACTCCACGACTGGAGGGCGCTAGCGACGGTGCCTTTCGGCAGACGTCGGCGCACGGCCGAGCTCTCACCGTGGCTGCTGCCCAGCGCAAAGCGTATCGCGGCTCCCACCAAACAGGGATGGCTTGCGACATACACAATCACGCAGCAAGTAACCACGCCCTGCCCCTTTGAGCTCGAGGTAGCCCGCAGGCCTCGGACCCGTAAGAACAGTAGCCTCTGCGTTCGACGAGATCAACATCTGAATCAGTATGGCTTCCAGCACAGGGTCGCTGATGGCAATCACCAACCCTCGTACTTTAGAATCGAACATCTTTCCCGTGCGAAAAAGCTTGAATAAGAGCTGGGATTGTAAACTGCCTGCTGCCAAATTGTCAGACAACTTGCGAAGCACAACCTGCTGTTCCTGAGTGGCACGCGGCATCACTGTTACAGCAACTCCCATGAATATGAAGCTGTCGGGTGCACCGAGTCCGTGTCCCTTCTGGCCCTTGGCACGAGGGAGATGTTCGTTGCCGCGCGTGTTCTTCACCGCTTGATAGATGGGATGGACCTGCAACCTTGATGGTGAACTGTGTAGTGCAGGCAGCCTCGAGCAGGCGGTGCCTCTGGGAATAGATTGCGCCACGCTTGAGAGCGAGATCACCTTTCTTCTCTGTGGCGCAGTCGCCGGCGGCCACGCGCTTCCGAGCCTGAGTACCTGGATCGGCACTGGCAGCGGGAGGCTTCGCACCGACTTGACCGAACACCGCGGCCCACTGTGGCTGAGACATGCTTAGAACTCTGGAATCTGATATTCCAAGGGAACGTGCTGACGAAGGTGTCACTGGGCCTCTGACTAGCTACTGAACGGCATCTCGCACAACAAGCACTCATAAGGGGGGCGGAACCCCGTGATCGAACACAATACCAGAACCCCTGGACCTGGGACATTTCTTGTTCACCAGACTCTGAAGACGATGTTAACGAACAATTCTTCCAGACTGCATATTCTCACACAACATGCACGCATTTGAAAACCGTGCCCACTCGAGCAAGTTCACGCAAACCATGGTTTGGAAGCTGAGAGTTAGCGCGATGAAGAAGTTGTTGACGCCTAGTAGGGTATTCAGCACTACAGATACCTTCCCCCTCTCCCAGGCTGGGGCCACAGACGAAACTTGGGGGCGGGGGAGGAAGCGGCGGCGGAGGAGAGGGCGGGAACGCCCCCAGGGACAAGGAAGGGGGTTTCTGGTGACCTTGGTATTCTCCAGCGAGGACAAGAGGATCGGTGTGGAGGAAAGCATAACGCAGTCCTTCGTCGCAAAAAAAGTCGCAACAGGTCGCGCGCGCACTTGCGCAGCGCGCTGTGGGCATTCGCCCGCTCGAACCAGATCAGCAACATCTGCTGGGAGCTGAGTCCACCAGGAACGCATCGGCCCTAGGCGGTAACCCTCCACATCAACACTCCTGAGCTCCGTGTCCCCCCCAGCATCTCTCCCAGACCATCACCCGCAGGATCTGAAGGTAACGGAGCGGACGTCTCGCAACATCTTGCATCCGCTTCAACCTCTGCACACGCAGAGCGAGAGAA